GCCCCCCCCACCCCCAACTAATTAAGATGTACTGATTTAATGGCCTTCTCTTATTTTTGCTTTGTATTTCTTTTGATCTTTTTTCTAAGAGGAGAGAGATTGTCTCATACAATGTTTCTGGGTTTGCATCTGAAATACATCTATACGCCCTCCTCCTTCATCTACAGATTCAAAAAGCACATGTGAAAAAGTGAGATGCTTTCATGGTGTCAAGTTTCTATGATAATATGTTGACAGGGAGTAAATTTGTCCCATATTTTATCTCATCTTGTATGCCAAATCTCAGTCTGTGCAATGTGTGTAGAATTCAAAATTGAAAATTACTTTTACCTCTGTGCATTTTTCTGACCAGCATGATACATTACAATTTCAAACAGTGGTGCTGATTCCTGCTTGGATTGGAGCAGAAAACGGTTACATCTCGAAGTGGAAGAAACTTTACAGTTTTGAAATCATGAGGAAATTTTAACTAAATCCATTGAAAAATAGGATCTGGCATTAGCCCCAGGCCTGAAAAGTTTACTTGCCTGCAGAAGGAGCTTAATTGGGCATCCCTATGTTATTCTGACAGTTCAAACATCTAGTTTCAAACAGCTTTCCCAAAAACTCAGGGAGAAAAAGAGAACCTCCTTCATAAGCTGACCTTCATTTATTCTGAAGTGGTAAGATTAATTCATGTTTCATGAAATAAGGCATGGAGATGCTTTTGCTGCAGGAATTCCTGATTGCTTTGTTCAGCAAGAATACCCTAAAAGAAGAAATGCTTCAGTAAAAGTTGATCAACAGCCTATGATACTGAAAGTAATGACTGTGGCCGGGTAAAAAGACATTCTAGAAAACTTGGCACTGTTAACACAGCCATTAAATTTTTGGTTTTGAAGCATAAGCACTCATGAAACATGCAACTTAACTTCAGTTTCTGTAGACTTGTAAGTGAAGGAACCAAGTTACCTTTTTTAGCACTGCTTAGCTGCTGAGTGATACAAGGTGAAATAAAACAGAGGACTTGGTGCTTTCTCTGTAAAATAATTTTTATGACTCATTTAAATTTAAATAGAACTTTAGAGTAAGTATCATGGGACTGCATTCAAAGCAGTAGTTGATCAGGAATACCAATTTGCTTTTTAAGTAAGTTAGTGTTTATAACTTACACTAATAAATGTATACATGGTATTGTTAATCTGTATTAAAAGTCTTCATATAGGGTGTTAATTAAAAAAAGTCTGTAGATAAATGTCATCTTGGCTGTGATGACTTGCCAGGAAAAGCCATGTTAATCAGTTGGAATTGAAAGAGATTTTTATTAATTCTGTTTGCTTTTTGGCTCATTTATTTGATTGTTACCAGTTCCTGGTGTTCCTATAAATTTTAGCTGCATAGTTTTGTCACTACCTTATTACAAAACTATCTTTATCAGCTTTTACTCTTTTCCCCAATAAAATTATTTTTGTTGAAGTGACCTCACCAGAGGAAAAATATTTGATGAAACTGCCTTTCATCGTGCAAAAACTAAGTGTAACCATTTATCTAGTTTGAAGAGCATTTGTTGATAATATATGTTTTTATCCATTTGTGCTTCCATTTCACTCTTGTGTATTTTTTTTTTCTCATGCAGTCAACATGTATTAATGCTGTTAGGCTCAGCTTATTGCTCATATAAGTTTATATTCAAACTAAAAGTTAAAAGTAGTGCTGGTAGAAATCATTGCTTGAATGCTAACAAGAATTCTCAGGAAATAAATTTCATGATGCATTTAATTCAGTGAAAATGTAAACAACTGGAATCTGCATTAAAAGTACATAATGAATTATGTGCAATTTATTTTGATTTATGGAATGATACTTGTCCACAGTGCTTCTTAAACAAACGTGCAGAATAAATCTGCAGGAATAACTACTAGGTGTATAATTTTCTTAACCTGCAGTATTTGGACTATTTCAAAGAAAATAAGAATTCTGATTTTTTTAAAAAGAATCTGGATATCTCAGCTATTACAAATATTTATTATCTTGTTTGCAGAAGCAAAATTGAACAAACATTTGTGTTTGCTCTGAACAGAGATAAAAATACAAGTTTTACACACAAAGTAATGTTATGGAATTAAACTGAAAGATATAGTGGAGGTTGCACTACTGAAGGAAGGTGGTATTTCAGCCTCCAAGTACTTTCAAAATTGAAAGCCTACATTTTAGTATAAATTTTACAAATTAAAAGTATCGCACATTTAAATATATGGCTTTGTGTATTATGAGAGTAAATATTTGAAAGCCATTTTAAGATGTCTGTCTTGTTCTAGACTTTTTAGAAAATATTTATTAAAACCTTTATCTCATTATGAAAAGGTTTTGATACTTTTTATGGCCCCAGAAAGGCATGGTGTCTCAACCAACTCTGATTTTGCAGTAGGACTTACGCTAAAGATGAATTGATCTGACAGAAAATGATGAATTTTTTCCCTCTAAGCAATTTGACATTGGTTATGAGTAAATACAGTTCAAACCCAAAGAAATACACTCTGTGCTTTAGAAAGGCAAAATTCAGAAAGCTAAAATATGTTTTGGAGCAAACAGTTGTGACTTACAGGTACTTACATGGGTTAAAAAAAATTCTGAGACATTGAAAATCTAGCAGAAAAAGGTACATAAGACTAGTGTTTGGGAAGAAGAAACTAACTGAATTTGGACAAGGAAAAGGACACCATTTTAAATCATCGCATGGTAATCTGTTGTTGCTGCTTTCCTAAGGTTGAGATGGGTTTGGTATCAAGTCTCTAAATGGAGATAGGGTATCGTTTAGACAATGCATCACTGACAAACTTATGAGCTTGCAGATGAAATAGATTTGAGGCTTTTTTGGACTGTGTCATACAGGCACTTCTCACTTTACATAGGTGAGGTTCATACGCTTTTTTCAAAAGTAAAATAAGAATTCTTTGTAAGGCATAATCTTAGGAGTATCTCTTACAGTTTGGTAAGAGGCTCCTGTCATCGTTCATTTCCACATCTTCACTGAACCCTTGATTGTGCTGGGAGAAACATACTGCAAGTCTCTTCAGTTGCTCAGGGAACCGATATAAAATGATCCAACAGGGAGAAAAGAAATTAATTTTAACCCAGATCAGTTCCACAGTATGGTGCACCATGTGCCTTTCCAGACAATTGTGCTTTCATAAGTAAAAAGGAGGAAGGAATCAGTACAAAGCAGGTATGAATGTGGGTATGGATAATAGTGGACTTGCATAAACCAACCTTGCTGGCAAAGAGAATGTTAATGAACTGTAGCCACGCAGCTGGTGTTCAGATATTGCTAGTGCCTGTTACTTGAAAACAGGCTTACCTTATAAAAAAGGATGAGATTCTCTTGAAATGGTTGGGAATTTTCCAAAGGAATGCACATAAAGTTCTTTGCCTTCAGATACTGCAGTAGCAAAGTTGTGTTCAGATCATATTTCTAAATTTTTTTTTTCCTGCCGCCCTGTGAAGACGATATCAACTTTTACTTTAAAGACAGTAATTTTTACTTAATAAAATAATTCCAATTTGTAACTTGATATAAAACAATGTACATAACAGAACTTTGGACAGTGCTCTATGCTTCAAATAGTTGCCTTTTTTCCCCTAGGCTGACATGTAACTTGCTCTGTGCAAAGTACTTATTGAATTGCAGGAGGCATCTTCCGTGGACCTTACACAAAGTACTAGAGTTCTGCTCTGGACAGTTTGTTCTCATTCATTAAAACTTCTAAGTGTGTGTGTGTGAATACTATATTATATATTCTCCGTGTGTGTGTATATATATGAGAGAGAGAGAGAATGCATTCAGCATTCTTGTTTTAAGCAACTGTTAGAATGATGCAGTTGTTTGTGAACAACACAGGCAGCTTCATATTTTGTGCTATGTGTGCTCTCCTGGTTTTTTTTCTTGCTTTTAATATGTTCAATTTTTTCTTTTCAATGTAGAGCTCTTTTTGATTATGACAAGACTAAGGATAGCGGTCTTCCAAGTCAAGGATTGAACTTCAAATTTGGCGATATTCTCCATGTCATTAATGCTTCTGATGATGAATGGTGGCAAGCACGGCAAGTAACTCCAGATGGAGAAAGTGATGAAATTGGAGTTATCCCAAGCAAACGCAGGTATGTCATGATATTTTATTGACTTTGAGGTGTCTGCTATTAAATGTCTGATATGATTAATACATATATTGCATATGCTTTGCTCTTTGTTGTTAATTCTGTACCACATCAGCCACTTGGTTTGGGGGGGGAGGGGGAGGAGGAGGTTGATTTGGGGTTTTTTTGGTTTTTTTGTTTTTTGTTGTTTTTTTTTTTTTAAATAATCTGTAGTGGGATTCTGACTGATTCAATGAGAAGTTTGTTAAAATCCTATTTAGTCTTAGGAATTGCATGCTGGAGTTGATAAAGGTGGTCCAAGTCCATTTCTCTGTTCTCACTGTAAGCAAGTGATGGGTTTAATAACATTACACCATTTATGTATGAAAAGGTGCAAAGTAAATTTTGTTCGAATCATGACGCTATCATGAATTCTTTCTACCCAAAACCTGGGAAACTGAAAAGTCCTTCTTTGATGGCCAGAGTAAACAGATGTTTGCTGGCATATCGGAGACCCAAATAAGAGATTTGGTGCTCTGAATCTTAATATCTGCTGTTGACTGGTAATTGAGGCTGCTCACTTACTGATATGCTTTTTCTTTTTGCCCCCGATTTATTGAACCTACATAATCACAAAATACTCCAATACCCTCAACAGCTCATCACTTGAGAAATAATACCCTACTTTTCCAATACAGTCTGCCACTAGCAGGCTGCCATTTTCTGAAGGTGTCATCACCAACAAAAATCTGTACTACAAAAGGTACACCTATATGCTTACATTGTAACAAGTAGTAACTTGAAGTTCTGGAATTTTGCTGATTTAACATTTTTGTGTATGTTTTTGTGGTAGAGTTGAGAAAAAAGAACGAGCCCGTTTAAAGACAGTGAAATTCAATTCCAAAACAAGAGGAGATAAAGGGGTGAGTTAATGAAGTACTAATTACACCTGGCATTGTGAATGGTAACATTTTTCAGTCGTTTATCTATGCAGACTGTTTCAGTTTTTAGTGAAAAGATTAAATTCTGTCAAATAGAAATAATTCTGAGCACCAAAGCTAACTTTAGTAGTAAACCATTGCCAAAACACTGCAAATTGTTTGAAGAATTAGCTTAGAAATATGTATTATCGTTAATACTGTAATGTAATAGGAGTTGTAGATACTAATCAAGTATTGAATAGTGCCATTTCTAACAGCTCTGCAAGTGCTGTTTATAAAGCAGTTTAGTACTTTAGTATGGATTGTACTCCTGGACTCCCATTTTTGGGGCAGGCTTACTACCAATTTTCAGAAAAAGTAGTATGTTTGTTTCTTTAAAGTTTTTTAATGCATAGAGAAAACAAGGAAGTAGAGCTCAACAGGGTCCCTCTGATAAAATGAGGTTTTACGATGTACGCAGTTACACAGACAGCATAAAGTAACTTCTTTGTTACAACTGTGGAAGCTTTAAAGAATTTCATGCAAGGGCATAGGCCAACAAAAAATCAAGGCTAGCGCCATTGCTGACCAGAATCAATCTCCATCTCACAGCTGTTTTTTCTCATCGCCACTCTTTATTGGTGCAAATACTGATGTGGCTGTGCTCAAATCATGTAAAATAACCAATGCAGATGAAAAATAACCCAATCCAAAAGAAATCCTCGTTTTAATTTTAGTCAGTCCCTTGGTGCAGTTCACTGCACAATATGCAATCCCTGTCCCAGTACACGTCATGGGAATGAGCGGTGAGAAAGCAGGGTAGCTACTTAAGTAGTAATAGGAATGTTTGTAGCCGAAATTACAGCAATTTCATAATGGTAAGGCAGCCAAATTTTTTTTTTTTGAGGGTGAGGATTTTTTGCAATGTTTTGGTCATTTTGAAATTTGAGAAACAATTTCACAACCTTACGATTTCTACCAATAATATATAACTAGTAATTTCAAGACTTAGGTATATGCGTTTTAGATGTAAGATGTAGATTTAAGATGTAACTAATTACATCTAATTAAGTAATAATATATTATCATTTTTTAAAATCTGAAACATGCTTATACATTATTGTACATCCCAAAGATTCCTTTTTGTCATTTATTTCAGTTACAATGTTTTCATAACTTCAAAAATCACATATATGAAGTATTAAAGCTTCGATACTTTATCCTGTAGTGTAGGACTTTATACTTTAAAGACTGTCAAATCCATACATACATCCCTCTGCTACACAGTAAAGATTTCAGTTTTGTTTATTAATGAAGAAAATGTCGTGGTTGTTTCTATAACTATTTGTTTAAAAGGAAATAAATATCTCCAGTTATTTTCTGATGAACAGTTACAGTACTGCCTTGAGGATTATTTGCAGGTTTTTTCTGTTTTGGTACATTTATAGTCTAGTATTGGAATAAAATTTTGCCAAGTGATGTGGTAATTTTTAACGTGATTATTTTTATAATTTGAGTTCGCTTTTTGGAAGTCACATAAAGAAAACAGCTTAAATACTTTAGATTATTTTAATTACATGAAGTAATTTTTCAAATGTTACCATGTTCTTTGGAAGATAATTGCATGGTTTTGTAGTTTGTCTACCAATAAACTGCAAACAGTTAACTTAATTAATGATGTATTTGAAGTAGCATCTTGACAATAGCAGAGTTAGTGCACAGTCACTGTGTGCTAGCATAGCATCAAAGATATGCATGGAATACTGAGTGGAAAAGCAACTACGCTTGCCATTGATACAGAACTGCAGTTCTTTTTCTTTAGTAACATTTCATTTTGCAAACATGCTTACACTGTTCACAATCTTTTGCTTCAGCTGTAAATGTTTTAACATTACAGTTTCTCCTTAAAGTATTCTTCCTACATTTGTCATGGTGATATTTTTCCCAGTATGTTGTCTGCACCATACATGTCCTCATGGACTGTGTGCCTTCCTGTGTCTGTGTATGATAATACTCCATGGACAGGGTGAAATTCCAACTTTGTGTAATTCTTCAAAATTTCTACGATAAAATCTTAAAGAATAACCCTAGTGATGGCAAACATTAAAACCCATGTTCCTTTCATTTTAAGGAAAGCTAAAAAAATTGGAGCAGAAGTTGTTAAATTTTTTTCTTGTTTGTTCCTTTCATATACACATTTATCTCACTTCCTGTGCTGCTTCTGTTTTAATATATTCTTGCTTATGATGCTTGTTTATGATTTGCAGTGGGCTTATGAAAAATTTAATACAATTACTATGCATTTTCAACTAATAAGCAATTCTCTTTAGCTTTTTATAATCATGGTATCTTTTAAAAAAAATCTTTTGGCTAATCTTTTATGCAAAATCAGTATAATATTACTTTCATTTTCTCTTTTTTTTGGCAATGGAACTGACTCTGGCCATTATACATGCAGTATATAAAATTTAATATTAGTTCAGTAAAATTTACTGTACAGAAAGTTAAAATAATTATTGTTATGGAGTATTTTCAAAACTAAAATGAAGAACCTGATTATGTTTTATGAAGTACAATAAATCAGCCACTCCTTTTATATTAACTATACAAATTGCAGAGTCTCACCACCTCAGTTAAACTGCACCATTTTAGCTTTGTTACATTTATTTCTCCTATTCTTTTGCCCAAACTGAAGGACTTGTCTGAATTGAACAATTATATACGTGTGAGACTTCCACTTTTTGAAATTCAAGTTACAGTATTTTTCAGTATACTCAGCAAAGATCTATTCCTCTGGGCAGATTTCTTTGTTGCCCTTGTTCTGTAGATTACTTTAATCTTTCTGGTTATGAGAAATCTATTGCAATGACTTGTTGACTTCAGATAAAGAGGGTCAGGAGGACCATAACCTAAAACCTTGCCCATACCAGCTATGGTTCCTGCAAGCATATGACTGGCTGGAAACCGGTTCTTTTGTCCATACGTCAGGTTGATAATTTACCAATTCTTAGTGGAATGACAGGTTTTAGTTGAACAGAGATACCAGCCAATTAAAGGTTTTATGGATTTCTGACTTAACACAGTATTGCTATTTCCAGAGCTCAATGTCACTGATTGCGCTCCCATGGTACCGTGTGCGTCTAACACCTGGTAATTTGAAGTAAACTTTTTTAAACAATGGAATATCACTGGATGTTTCAGTATCTGATATTGCCAAGCAAGTCTGTATTAAAACAGATGGCCAGAAGGATTGTCAATACTGTAGCAGGATGCAGCTTGTATGTTGCACTATAGGCATTTTCTTTAGAAAGGTCAAATGCTTGTTTTGTAATTGTACCAAAGAAGGTAGCCCACTGTTTGAAAAAACTTTGTTCTACTTGACCCCCAGTTGTTACTATATTTCATTCCATACTTAATGCTGTTAGGAAAGGTAATGTATCTTTCTGCAACTGTGTTGCATAGAATAGAAGAAGATGAGCTCACACTGGCTGAAGACAGACAGACAATTACTTGAAAGTTAACATGCTCCAAATTTTAGAAATAGCTGTTAATAGTGTCTTTAATGTATGAATTGAAAATATTTTTGGTTTTTTTAGAAGTAGCTTTTAAAAAATGGTTCTGTGGAAGTTTTATTACTTCCTGCTGCACATGCGCTCTGCTTGGCTTAGAAATAAACAGTCCCCCTGCAGTGTAGGGTCTCCAAACCAAGTTGGGCATTTTCTCACTTTTGCCATCCTTCCCGCAATAAAGTTTCTGCAAACCAAATGACAAAAACATGGCAAATTTCATGTCTTGGCAAAACTGGGCAGATGATTCACTTATGCCTAAAGATGAAAAGAAATTTCAACTGGCTTCAAGTTAGCTGTATTAGTTCTAGTTCTGGGCATAATTGCAATAAAAATGTTACTGATTAAAGGTGACTGTAGTCACATAATGTCTTCAGCAGAAGACATGGCAGATATTACTAAATTCTGTGTTAATCACACCTGTAGACATATGTATATATGAATGAAAATACCTTGATGCTCTCCATCACTTAGACAAGGAGCACAATAATAGTCTATATTCAAATGGGTGGATATGTGTATTTCTATATAGGTAACTGGAAATTTTCGTAGTAACTGAGATGCAGAAATTCTTCAGCAACACAAGCAGTTGATGTCAAAAGTTGCTGAACATGATCCTTGGACATACAGGGTTTTTCACATGGTAATTATAAATGCACCCTTGGAAAAATAATTGCCACAGTAAACAAATGAAATGAGTTTGTATCTTTTGAAAGTTAATCTTGGTACTGGGATGCAGAGTTATGTAGAGCGAAGTCATTCCTTTCAGTCAACTTGCAATGAATTGCAATTGTGAAAGATTGAAACAAATACTTTTGTTTTGGTTTTTTTTTTTGATATTTTAGCTAGACACATTTCTTTTCCTTTTTTCTTATTTCACTGTTACTTAAATTTATTGTAAGAGCATTCAGTACAATGCCAGCTTTTAACTTCCATTTTTCTTTACTGTATGATATGTTATTTAGCAGTTGTCTCCAAGGTATTTACAGTTTTGCCTTTGCAAATGGGTAACACTGGCAAATGCTTCTGGTGTGCTGTTATGGTGTCAGCTGTTTGCAAAAGCATGTGTAGAGCCTCAGTGTTTTTTTAAAATACTGTAACCCCTATATTAGACAATATCAATGATTTAATTGAGTTTGAGTTCATTATCGTTTGGCCATCTTATAGCAGCCTAGTTTTTCCCATCTTTTTATACTCCCAGCAGGCCTAAATTTGTGAAATACTGGTCAGGCCATGTAGGATGATCCAGCCTGCCAGTTCTCTCAGGAGTAAGCATGTGAAATATGGAGGGTGTGAGCAAAGCCATGATCCCGATCTCTATTTTTAATGAGCTGAGAAGATAATGTTAAACTGAAATATGCACTGCATAATGTGGTTATAGGAGTCAGCTTCCACAAAGCTGCTGGTCTGGGCCTTTGTTCACACAGACATTAGACATCCTTTGTTTTGCCCCTCCTTCTCTTCTTCAGCAGTCATTCAATGACAAGCGTAAAAAGAACCTCTTTTCCCGAAAATTTCCCTTCTACAAGAACAAGGACCAGAGTGAGCAGGAAACCAGTGATATTGACCGTAAGTATGTGGCATTCGATGGAGACCAAAGCACACGTAGAAGGGCCTGCTAGATTGCAGTAGGGTGTTACCATGGAGACAGTTTCATGAGCTGCAACAGGCTAACGAGCTTGAGGTGCGAATGACAAACCAATCTACAAACTCAATAAAACCGTTTGCTTGCTGTTAAAGTAAAATTCAATCCGAGAGTTGGAATAAACTGGGTGATATTCTTGAGTAACAGTGTGTACGTAACTGGAGGAGGTAACAGCCCTCCAGCGCTGTCAGTGATGGTTCCTCATTTCTGACTTGGAGGAGAGCGCATAGCAACAAAGAAAGTGTATCGGAGCTTACCAGTTTCTCGAATCAGTCCCTTTAGACTGGTTGCTTCAAAGTCATTCCATTCTAATTTGATTTTCCTATTGAAGAGAGGTTATTTTGATTTTCATCGTTGTTGCCAGCGCTAAAAAAAAAAGTGTCTTCTCAAAAAGCAATTGCATAAGTTTACTAATTCAGAGCAGGTCCGCTACAAACTGCATTCTCTGCTGTTTGCATCATTGATTACACTTCATGTGCCAGTCAGGTCAAATCCTATAGACTTACCTTCCCCTGTGATGTTCTGGGAACTGTCTCCTGTCGTAGCGCCAATTTTATATATTACTGACAATTATTTTCTTTGTGATTGTCTTTTTATTGCTTGCCCTCTGGGGACTACTCTGCAGGAGGTCCCTGACGACATGGGATCAAAAGGCCTGAGTAAGTGATCAAAATACTCCCAAGTTATTTTAACCTCCATCTGAAAAATTACTTTTTTTAACAGATCTCTCTGAGACTGGTGCTCTACTGGCATAAGGAGGTTGACTCTAAAAATGTTTCATAAGCTTTTTCTAGTTTGTAATGTTCTGGGGGTTTTTGCTTTCAGGAATGTGTTACTTTAAGTTCATGTGACTATCATGTTAAGATTTTTTTTGTTGTTGTTGTTCAGAAGCTTACCAGCGCTTACTTGTTTGTCCTTAATAGTACTGTGTTATTAAATTTGGTGATTTTTTTTTTCTGTCACTTTTTATCTTGTCTTTGTGTTTTTATTTATTTTAAAATAACCTATGGCTTTTTACAGTAATAGTACAACCATTGCCCTAACACTTTAGTTACAGTTTTCAATCCTCTCTCTAGGTGACTGATGTTTACAGCTACTTAAACAAAAAAACTTTGCTTAACAAATACCATTAGAGTTTTTCTGTCTGACTTACTTGAACTCTTACGATGCTTTTAGACCAGATAGAGGGGTAGCTAATAGAGGAGACACAAAAGAATTAGTTGTATTTCCTGCAGAAATGTTAACTACTTGAATACAATAAGATTCAAAAGTTGCTGAGTACTCTAACAGATCTGTTTGTGTACACAGATGTTTAGTGTTTAGTACCACTGTACTAAAATGACAAAAAAAAAAGTCAAGACCTTGCATTCATCACAGATATTAAACACATACGTTATGCGTTTATAGAATAGTAAGATTAGTCACTAAAGATCAGTAACTAAAGGTCATTAAATATAACATTTCTTCCTAGCGCATAACTGTTATGCACAGTGTTCCTGAAATTACATGTAACAAGCAGTGTCATGAAATAAAAGTTCTAGTAGCTATAACATTAATTTTCCGTTTCCGAAATGGCTAGTTTCAAGGAAATTCTTGGTCTAGAACAGAAGACCTTAGCAGCCTTTATGGTCTGACGATCGTACCTAGTTTAAACTATGTAATATGGTCCAGAAATGTCACTGGGTGATTCTGTTATAAAAATAAATGGCTTCTAGCCTGTTTTTCAGCACATTTCAGACTTTTTGAAACCACCTTACCATGCTTAATGCAAGCTGTGTTACTTGGGCTCTGCAAGACTGCTGTTCTTGCTGGCATTTCAGGCTTTCCATCTTCACCAACTGTGCCCATTATCAGGCTATCACAACACCTGTATTCTCAATTGACAATGTCGCCCTTTCATGTTATACCACAAGGCTTTTAAACATCACTATTTGCCTCTTCCATGTCAATATGGACATTCTTTTTCCAAGACAAGAAAATGAAATGGGAGTAGATACAAATTGTTGGTACTCGCAAACATTTGGAAATACTTGTTTGTTCTTCCTCCACAAAAATGAAATGAGGGAGTTCAGTCTAGCCAGAGATTTGTGGTTTAAAAATACTGGTTCGCTTTACCCAAAAACATTTTAAAAGGTTACTTAGTTTACATATGATGACTGTAATTTTCGTAATGTTTATTAATCACTAGAAGCATACTTGCTTCATAACTGTATTCTTACCTCTAAAGTCCCCTAGCGGGGAGGGGGGGGGACTTCTTCAATCTTGTAGTAGAGGAACCACACTGAATTTAATGTATTATAAAGGCTCCTCATGATAACAATATATATTATCATATGCACACAGTTAGGTACATAATTTCAAATGTAATTGTACTTGCTTTGTGTAGGTCAAGCAGAAGCTTCTTTATGCAGTCTTAACCTGTGAATGTTAGTGTTTTTCATTACAAATACACACACTCACTTGGTGGCATAAAAATTGGTTCTTTACAATAAAGTTCAGCAGTATCAAAGTTTGTATTTGTTCACCAGATTTGTAGCATTTTCAGGTAACAGAATAGACTGATAACTGAAATGCTTCAATTGCATTAATTTTTATCATAAACTTATTTAACACAGTTACATAGCTTAAAAAAGTAAATATAAACACCTTGCAGCTACTGAAGTATTTTGATTACTATGCAAAAGACATGAAATTAATATAGCTAGTCCAGAATAAAAGTCAGGAGCTTTTGAAAACTAAAGCATTGGAAGGGGGGGTGTCAAAATCTTAATTCTGCATTGCACTTCAAGTAAACTATTTAATGTACCATAGGAAAGTGTCTATTATTGAACGTGCTACACTATATTTCCTGCAATATAGTCCAGTATTTTCTGCTACAAGACTTCTTAATATAATCAATAAATTGCCTGCAAAAAAGTTGAAATGCATAATCCCATAGTTTTTGCACAACAAAATTCATCTTGAACTGAAAACCTAAAAATTGCAGGGTTACATGTGAACTATGAATTAGTGTACTTTTTGTAATCTTATTTTGATGTGCTATTTAATGTTTTTCTTTTTATTAACATCCATTCCTGTCGTATGAAATTAAGCTTGATCCTGAGAGCTATGAGAAGTACCTTAAAACTTTTATATGCAGTATGTATTGATTTCAGCATTTTGATATCAGTATTGTCTTTCATCTGGATTATTTTGTGTCAGTTTGCTTTCTTTTGGACTCATGTCACTAGTGTATGTTCCTTATTTTTTTTTTCCATTGTCTTGCAATTTCAGAGCATGTAACCTCTAATGCCAGCGATAGTGAAAGTAGTTACCGTAAGTGTTTTTAAGTTCTTTGTTTATTTAGAACGTTTGTTTAGTAGCTCTTTCTTTGGTTTTGTTTGTCTGTCTTTTCTGGGTATTTACATGTTAAGTAGAACTTTCCAGTCACCTTCAGGTGAAATCCGTATTCATGTGTTTGGTGGGGTACTGCAAATTCTGCTATTGTCTGTCTTTGTTTTAAAAAAACTGACTAGAGAGAATAATTGCAAACCTCCTTTATGGATATTTTTATTGTGATCTATGATTTTCTTAGTTCAGCTTAATTTGAATCAATTCCTACTTTTTAAAATTATGCGAGCTAGCTAGACCTGTTAAAACCTAAGTGTAAATTTAATGCTGACAAATATAATTATATGTAGTTGAGCTTAATACTGGAAGCGTAACTAAACTGTGTAATCTGTTAAATAGCGCAATAACGGTCTACAATTTTTCACATCTGATACTCAGATTTAATATGTATATACTGCTGATGAAAGAAAAGATAAGCAAACATGTATTTACCCTTGCTTTCAGCTTTCATTTATCTATTTTGTCAAGTGTGGGTGCTTAGTATAAATTGTGTTCAAAGCATACGACACACATTAAGTGCTGGAGTCAGTTATGATAAATTAGCATGCTAGGCACACATACATGTTCTCTCTCTCTCTCTCTGAAGACATAGTATCTTTTAAATACTAGACTGAGTTAGCTTTTTTACTAGCCCAAGCTACAGTACTATTTACTATATTACCCAAGCTGCAGGAGTGCTACATGTTCACAGTGGGTAATGCTGCATGATGCTGCTCTACAATGCTTTAAAATGTCTTAAACCTTCAATCCCACTGGTCATTTCCAGTGAATAACTCAGTAAGGCTGCGCAGTCCAGACCAGGATAGAGCAGAGCAGGAAGATGAAAAAGTTAAGGATTTGGAGAGGGATACGTAAAGAAGGAACAGTAAAAGTCATGCAGTATGACACTGAGCGGCTCACTGGTCAGCTCCTGGTTGCCTGCTAATTGTAATCGGCACTTCAGAAACAGATATTATTTACGTTAGGGTAGTAAGGAAGGTGGTTCATTAACAGATATATTTGTTTGGAAGCTGTAGATCTTCTCAGAGGTGATGATCCACATATTTTCTTCCAGATGGTAACGCTCAAGGAGAGAATTTATACATGTGTATAAAATCCCCAGCACTAACAATGCTCACAATGTCATAGACTGTAATTGAAAAGAAACCAATTGGGGGAGGCATTCGTGTTCCCTGAGAATAACACAAAATTGAGCGTATATGGAAGTTGCCTTTGCCTATATGACAAACTTATAAATTTTAACCATTTTTAATGACACGCCATTAAAACTATCTAGCCATGACTGTTTCTCCATAAATTTGCTGCTTTCCTCTCTTCCCCTCGCTCCCTCAAGGTTTTTCTCAGAGCTTGCTTTATGTATGTTTAAAGCTCATTATTGGTACTACTAGTTAGTTTTTTACTCTGTTATTACTTGAGAAGCCCTGATCTTATTATGAATGTCATCGATTTGCTTATCTGAATGTGTAATTCCAAACACCTTTTATTAAAATGATTTTTTTAATTTCTTCTTACTGCTGTCTAATATGAAAGTTATCTTGATTACAGATGAGTACGGTTGTTCAAAAGGTTCATTCTATTAATATTCATTTTTTGAAAGTATTGAAAAGCAGTGACAATATATACTTTTTGCCCTCAATCAGGGAATGCTTTTTACGTGTTATTATCTCTCTAGTAGTTTACTTAACTAATTTTTGGCTTTATAGCAATGTGACTTCTCCAGAGAAATACCTAATTATATGTGAGCTGCATCTTTCATGGATGAGTCAATAGCTGGTGATTCCCTAGCCTAAAAAGGGTTTTGAAAGTATATACTGTCCTTCTAAAATCCATTTGCATGAGTAACTTTTTGAGATATTAAAATATATAGGTTGCATGTTTTCATGTCTGTCTTAACATATTCCTCACTTGCAATAACTTAAAAATTAAAATGTTCATTCATGTATTGCTGTAGTACAGTTTGAATGCAAATTTATTGCAAATAAGAGAAATATTTCTCGTAATGAAATTGTAAAATTTTAGATTTAAAATAGCGATAGTATTTGCTATGAAGTAAAAAATAGATATATAGAAGCAATATATGAATTTATAAAAGCCTTTATCCACCATCTGTTTCTGTACAACTGTGGTATAGCATTGGTATGTTCCTTTGCCTGTTATAATATATTATGGCTTATGAACTACAAAGAATGTTCCAAAATTACACAAGTGAGTTATTGAAGGACTGTATTTTATTCAAAGTTTATAGTAATGTCATATAATTTGAGCTTGTATCTTCAGAATTATAAATTCTTTGCTGTCATGGAGTTTATTTTTAGTGATTCCATTGCAAGAAATCTTACTTGGAGATATCTTGTTAGACTAGAAATAATCTTTTAGAGAGATGGCAACTGAGGTATATTTCTAATGCTTTCACTAACATTTTAAAAGCCTGCAGCTGTCAAAGGTCAAAATTCAGTTATTTTAGTTTCATTCACTGCTGATGTGCTTTCTGGAGCTGAGAACAATACAAAGCATTCTTTGTTTTCGAGTTCATTACTTTAAAAATTTGTTAATAACAGAATAGTTATTTAGTATATACAATCATAATAATTTTTTTGTAGAATTAGTGATTGAAGGTGTTTATATAAATGCCACTTCATGATAAAGTTAATGGAAGATATGTACACCTTGACATACATGATTGTCAGCCCTGTATAAATATAGAAAAATGTTATTGTAAATGCTGGTTTCGAAGTGTGGAGAATGTTAATGATGAAGGTGGCATTGCCTCTAGCAGTGAATGATAGCATGCATGCATTTCATTCAGGGAGACGTGTATAAGAGCATTTCAATAATGCTTTAAAATTCTTCTTATGCTTGATGTCAGTTTGACATGCTAACGTAAACCAGGAAATTATTTATACTGTATGTGTCTTATGCTTTAAAATTTTGTTTGGCTTATCTTTGTGATTTTTATAATTCATCGCTTTTGAAAAATGTCCTTCATCAGTATCATTGTAATGCATATTACTGAGGAATGTCTGTATCGTTATAGTTCATTGAATGACTCAATTTAAAGATGTTGATTTAGAAAAAAATACATAGATATGTCTTTGCATTTGCATTTTAGGTGGCCAAGAGGAATATGTTTTGTCATATGAACCAGTCAATCAACAAGAAGGTTTGTAAATCTCACTCAGTATAAAATAAGTATCATCTGAATTATCAGAATGCTTCATGTGCCCTTATGTACTGAGCACCGTGATAAACTTTTTCACTGTTTTGAACTTGTTACCGTTATTCAAACGAATAAAGCATAAAGGCATTAATTATTAAATGCAATTGCTAAATTATTTAGTGCACAATCCAAAAGTGTGCTACTTAAAATAACTTATTATGTGTGTTTTACATTGCGTAATGAAAATATGGTATGTTTAACAGTTTCATCAAGTGTGAACCTCAGAAATTATGGTTTTCTTCTGTTTCATATTGCTTTAGCATTCTCACTGTTGCGGTTCCATTTTTCTGTCACAGCAAAAAGTGTGTCAATACATCATTTGTCTATTTTAGTAAGCTTTAATTGAAATATCTCTAAAACGTGGCAGTCTCCTATTTCTGTTTTGTCTTCTTACATGGCTAATTTGGTTAGCAATTTCCAAGTGATTTTTTTTTTTTTTTCCCCCCAGGGAAAAAAAAATTCAATGAAATGGAAATTGATAGGACAAAATACTTTCTTACACTTGCATTTAAAATAAAAGCTTTTCACTGATTTCCAATGGGATGCTATCATTTCCTTTTCACCTTGGTTCTGATCTTGCATCATTGTGTATAATAGATACAGAATTTTTAGTTCACCACCACAGGTGCTAATGGCTGATTTACATTATCTGATACATAGCTCATATATTTGTAAATTGATCTGTAAAAGGGATGTCCTTTGGGAATACTTGATATCTATTACCTATCAAATAAGGTGGCAGTTGAAGTAAATATACATCATGTATTTACATGAATTTTGAGTGTCAAGATTTCATTTTTGGTTTCATGAAGTGAGTGGCATGGCCCAGTTGCTTTTAATACCATTGTGGAACACGCATGCGCCTGTATAGACTTTCCACTCCAACTTGTTCATCATTGCATGTGGGCTCCATTTCATCAGTAAGCTTCCAAAAGTAGTAAAAATTGTTATACAAGATTAACACAGACTACATTATTTATGTCATATAATTTGTAATTTTAGTAGGCTCCAAATAAAGTAACGGATGAGAAATGCATGAGTTGAGACCATGCTGGAAATGGAGAAATGGTAGGCCCTCTTCGATGTGCCAAGCAAGCTGTGCTTAAGCTAGGGAACCTGGAGATTTGTTACCCTCAAATGAGCAGCTGCTGGGTCTGTGTATGTATGCACACCAGAGGGTCTCACAAAATGAGAAACATCTTTTTAGCTGGCATCAGCTTCCCAGATTCTGATAGCTTAATAGTTTAGTGAGAACGATAGTAATACCAAGTGAATTAACATCAAGGTTGAAGAGAAAAGATGTGAATGAGACTTCGCACAAGCCAATGGTTTAGTAACTACCATATTGTAAAACTAAAGATTTTAGAGAGCCAAGTGCTTTGGCACTTAAATACATGACTGTAATTCCCTTTATGAGTCTATTATAGCATATGGGGAAGGCCATAAAAGAACCAGCATATCGTTCCTTTTCTTAGGTGCAGTAATACATTCCCTGCATACGGTATCTGCATTTGTCCACTAATTCACTTCCACAGTAAATTTTTTTTTTTTCTAAGAAGCTCAGAGGAATAAAGAACTGTAATGACCAAAACAGATTTAAAGGTGCTTGGATTTGAGACACTAGTGGGCCACTCTTAGTCTTTAAGCAAAGATGTTTATTGTTAAATCAATAGGTTGACAGTTACTGGATCCCAGACATTTCTCTTATGAATATATTAATACCCCTGAAAGGAGATAGTTCCGAGAGTCAAAATAAAATATATTGTATAGATCAGATTTTATTTAATTTGGACTTCTTTGTGCAGGAAAGACAGATTGAACCTAAAACTAGGATTTTTACAGCTGAAATTATATGCTAATGCTAAGATACTTAGACATTATTGTCTTCATGGTTCTTGCAGTATAATCAGATATTTTCTGCTTGAGCTTCATTTCCAACGAAAAGCCCTTTATAACTTTATAAAAGATTAAGCTGCTTTTAAAAGATGCTATATTTTATTTTATAAGGGTGTTAATAGTTACAGAAGCTATAGATAGTTGAGTCTTTTCATATATGAGTATTTAAGTTGTGGTCTTAGAGGAAAAAAAGAAGCTTCTACCAACACAGAACTAGAACTCCACAAACTCCGCTACTGCTTAGGTACCTCTTTGAAGTGAAAAGATTTTTTCAAACTTCCTCCTTTTGCTGTTTTCATTAGAATGAAGGATGTTACTTTGTGAAAAGATCATCTTTTTTCCCCCAAAGACTTGATAATTTCAAACATCTTCAATCCCCCAGGATAGTGATTTGAGAGTGAACATCTAACATCTTACTGTGACTATGGTATTAATTGATATACATTCTTCAACATGTTTTTCTTCTCTTTAGGAGTACATATTCTTTTAGGTATTAAAACATTACCATGTGATAAAGCTTATTTTGCTGAACTGTGAAAGAAAGCAATCATACTGAAATGTAACTGATGTTATTCCTTTATGTTTAATAGTCAGTTACACTCGACCTGTGATTGTTTTGGGACCCATGAAAGACAGAATAAATGATGATCTGATCTCAGAATTCCCAGACAAATTTGGCTCGTGTGTTCCACGTAAGTCTCAGCAAATACTAAAGCAATTCTAAATTATTTTTTTGTGTTAATTCATCTCTTTGCATGAGACAATTTTGCAGTATAAATGGGAGACTGTAGGGAAAAATGTCACTGTTTTATGTTTTGCTTTAAAAATCACTGGTTTATATTTAAAGATACTACTAGACCAAAACGAGATTATGAGGTGGATGGACGCGATTACCATTTTGTCACTTCTCGAGAGCAAATGGAGAAGGATATTCAGGATCACAAATTCATTGAAGCTGGCCAGTACAATAATCATCTTTATGGAACAAGTGTCCAATCAGTGCGAGAAGTAGCAGAAAAGGTAAATCAGTGCCAGTTACTTTCATTTACTGAGGTGATTATCTGACTCTGCTGACAGGGGAAAAGAGAAGAATGGCAAGAAGCCATTAGGAACCCTCTGACTTAAAAGGAATTTGTACAAAACTAGAAACAAATTGCATTGTCACAAATGCATTTAGGGAAATAATGAAGCTTTGGAATGATGAAAGCATTGTGATTAAATTACGGGAAAAGAGTTTGTGCCCTCTTAGAAAATAGAGAAGAAATAATTGGAATTACAGGCTAATTAGCCTAGCTCACATACATAGATCATTAACTAATTAAGAATAGTGGTGGTGGAGTCGATTAATATGATGATCCATTTGATATAGACCTGTGCAGAAGAAAAGTTGTAAAATTTTTTTTTCTTTGTGCTCTTCATGGATTTAGCTGACAAAGGGAAAAGAGTGTAATAACCTCAATTTTAGAAGGACATTTTACATAACTATCACTACCTTTTGAAGACTGACTTTACTGTTTTTATCTTGAACAGATTTTAATCAACTATTTCTTTCAAAATCTAAACATTTCTAAATTCAAAGTGAAGTTTACTTGAGCTCTCTGAAAAAGAGTGGGAAGAAGGAAGCATATTTCTTAGAGTAAGATGCTTGTTTTAATGAAAACTTTTTGGTGAAAATTCTTTGCGAATGATCCACATTAGGTTGATGAGTGTTGTTCTACTGCTTACAAATATGGTGCATTTACAGTAGACAACTAATCTGTTTGAGAGAAGAAACAGCTATTTTCTAGGTGGGAACTCACAAGCATGAGCACTTTCAGTCTGGGCATGCAGAGGGTAAGTGTGGTTAACCCTTGTGACACGGGAGTGTAGTTAGTCCTCTGGAAAACAGTGTAGACCATTCTGGCCAAATGGCCAAGTATTGTTAATTCTAGCAAGTGTAATTTACTAGTGGGATTAGTAAGGTACAAAACAATTGTGAATCTTTTATAAACTGACATGAAGAACAAAGTACTACCAGATGTCTCCATACTATTAAATCTCTTGCACAGGCACAGTGGGACTTTGGGTAGATGTAGCAATTTCTCAGTTCCAGCTATCATCGTTTTTCTGGGAAACAATGGCCTGTCCTTCAGACTTCAAAATCATGACGGGGCTGCAGACTGGTCGATCTGGGGCTACTCCCTCCGTGTAGTCCTCTCCATCTCTTCAGTGGGTCTTATTACTGGGATACAAAAGACGATTTCCAAGTTTTCTATGATGAATTTAGGGGCATGCACAACAGAAGTGACTGCTACTACCCCAAAAGTACCAGAAATAGCATTCTTGCAATAGCTTTAAATTGTGTTCGTTTGCCCATCGTTCCAGGTGATCCCTCTCTCTCTCATTTCCTTACCTATAATGGACACAGCTAAAGATGCTTTTTGATGTCATTTTTCAGTTATTGTAAAAGGCACTGAGTGCCGTGCTGTGTTTCTCAATCAGATGCAGTGCAAGTAAGGAACTAAAAAACATGTAAAATATTGTTTAAATGTACTGTGCAAAGAGCAAAATAGCTTCCCTGGATGAAAACATGATAATTATATCATGAGGTACTTGCGTTTCTTTTCCTTGTCTTCCAAATCCTCGCTTGAAAGAAATTTTCATATCCACTTTGGAATTGCTAGCAGCTTGCAAATCTCTGTGTCTGAGGCCACTGTAAATGCACATTCATTACTGATTTGGAATAAACTGTAACAGTTATATTTCATAAGGTCCAGTACAGCTACTGTGCTGGCAATCTAGTCCTCCGCCCTTTGCCCAAAATCCTTTGGCACCGGGCATAAGTTATTGGGCCAAACACAGCAAATACTAAATGTCTTATCCCAAAAAGGAAAATGGACCAGGTAATGCTCTTAATTCTCAATTCCCAGAGCATGTGCCACATTTAAAGAGAAAATATTTGAAAGATGTGGACAGGTCAGCACATGTAATAAAATACTTTGCTAGAACATACAAACACCTTTCTTAAATGATACCAGTCAGCATCCAGATCCATGGACTGGATCTGGGAAACAGCTATCATCAGTTGAAAGCAAGCAGATATGTGTTGTTCATATGGGAAGAACACGTCTATCCTCTTTAAGAATTCCTGAAATAAAACTGTTGTTTTGTTGTGTGAGAGATCAAATGTAAATGATCCTTAGTGATCTCTTCTGCCAGGAAGCAGAAACGTGTCAGTCATTTCAGACTGCAGTCACTTCCTTGTTCTTCAACGTGCCCTCCAGGAATGATCTCCCAGGAGTTCAGGAAGTGTGTTGTATGATACGAATAACCTTTGGTTTTACGGTGCTTGTGGGTTTGTATCCTGGCTCACAGAATTCTGCCATTCACATTGGTCTCCTGCTAAAGAAAAAGCTTTTCTTATTTTAGTCACCTGACAGTGGTTTTCTGTTCCTCTCCCCCCATCCCTTTCTAAAATAGTGGTATGCCAAATTACTCATATGCTACTGAGAAAGGAAAGAAATAAAAATCTGTGAGGTGGAAGTGAGCATATCAGAGATGAGAGGAGCTGAGGAACAGGAAGAACCTTTGAGATGAGATAGCCCAAAGAGCTGGGAAATTGCTTATAGTGGGAGAATAAAGGTGGGGAGAAAAGCAGCCCTACCACATTGTCTTACAACTGCCCAAGGAACTACTAAGTTGTATTTGTTTCTCAAGAGGTAAAAAATAATCAGCCCAAATAAATTGCATTCACCCTCTCAAACTTGGTATTCTATTGTGTGGCACCCGGGGGGAGGAGAGCGCTTGTATTCAGTTCCATCTAATGATTCTGATGGTGGCATATTTCCCTGCCGTCAGGGGTGGTTACTCCTTCAGGTATGCCAGTTAAGTCATCTGGCTCCTCTCTAAACTGCATCTGTGACATGACCACCTCCCTAAAGGATCCTCAGATTATTTTAAAAAAAAAAAAAATTAAAACCAAATAATTTTGGTGGTGTGGTTGAAGTACAGCTGTTCCACTGGATGATTCTGCATTGTTGATTGGGCTGCAACCTCTGGTGGAGAAAGGAAGAAGGGTCAGGAACATCTCAAATGATGTATGATCCCAACAGAGGAGCATTGTGAGACCTTGTGCCAAAGTGGTGAAATCGTAATATCATTGATGCAAATGCTCTAATTTTGTTGGCTTCAGTGGAGATGTGTTTTCTCTTCTAAATTATTAGCTATGCATACCTGTGACTTAAACTTTGCTTAGTGCCATTTTCCCTTCTTTCTCACTTTTTAGGGTAAACATTGCATTCTTGATGTTTCTGGTAATGCGATCAAAAGGTTGCAGATTGCCCAGCTGTACCCAATCTCCATTTTTATTAAACCCAAAACAGTGGAAAATATCATGTGAGTAAAAGTAAAGTTTGAGACTGTCATTGTGTTTGAAAAGCCAACTGCAAGTTGTGTGAAGACAATTGTAATATTTGCGTTTTAAACAATATTTAATTTCCTGAGTTTAATTTCTAGGGACTTTTAGGCAGGGTTTCTAATCCAAATTAAAATGCTTGAGAACGAATGTCATTGTGCTGAATTCCATGCAACATGGTGTCAGAACAGCTCATTCCCACTACGATCTTTGCTTAGGTGTGTCATTTAGGAGACTGCCTTTTATTAGGGTTAATAATCAGACAACAATTTAAAACCTTATTTCAAAAGACTTCAAGTATTTGGTAGTAGTTTTTAAATGTATAATGCTTTCAATTTCAGGGAAATGAATAAACGCTTAACGGAAGAGCAAGCCAGGAAGACATTTGAGAGAGCCATGAAACTGGAACAAGAATTTACTGAACACTTCACAGGTGTGTTTTGCTTGGGACTGTTCCCTTGCCAGAGTTGAAATTTTATTGCTTGCTGTAAAATAGCAATTGCCTCACCCCTGAGATAAGGCTGAACTTTGTTTTCCGGCTAATCTGTGATTGTTTTGAGGCCTAGAGCCATCTTAGTACCTCTACACTGATTTCAATTTGATCAATTAATTCAATATATACAAAAATGTACTGGGAGCTTAATTTAGATTTTAAAAATTGTGAGACTTTCTACCATTTTCCTAAGTATTGTAATGCAGATGTTTGCTCTGTTGATATATTGTACACTTAAAGCTTTTTATTTGCAGAGCTGAGATTGCCCAGCAAAGCTCCCTGTAGAAAATGATTAATTTCTATTTTTTTTAAATCAGGAAGTAAAGAATGATGGTAATTAATTAAGCCTCTGGAAATTGGGCACTACAGCATTATGGTACTTAGCAAATCAAATTTGTATATGCCATGGACCTAACTGCAACAGCAAGGGGTGGGCTGCAAGCACTCAAACTGTGCTAATTGTTTGCATTGTGGCTTGCAGTAGGAGGAGATTGATCAAGTCAGGATTTTCAGGAGGACAGAAATGAGCCTTCTCTATTCCTGCCCTAGATAGACACTCGCTCCTTTTCTTCCTGTTTTGTTCTCTTTTGCAGTGTTTCAGTGTTTGCTGCCCCATTCACCTCCTTTCTGTGACATGACTCCTTTGCCCCGTTCCTTCTTCCACATCTTAATGTGGGCAGAGCTGTGAATGCAACATTCTGCTCCACCTGGGCAGAGACACAGGAAGGGGTGGTGGCATCACATGGGAGGAAGATAGAGGAACCGGTACACTCCCGGCCCCAGTCTTCCCGCTGCCTTGTTCTCTACCTTGTGTGCTACCCACACAATGAACAACTTGAGTCCGTGCCTTTTTGTCTGCCTTCCTCCCTCTCTGCTGCCTCGCAGCTGTCAGTTTATCCCAATACTGCATCTAGCTTCTCTTCCCATAGCTCTCTATCTGTCTGCACCCAGAAAGTTATGGGACTCTCAACATGGGTTGCAGATTCTTCCAGTTATAGAGTCCCTTACCAAATGACTTGCAAATGTGTCAGGTTTGTTGTTCAGGAAACAAATAAGTTTATTTTAATAGATATTAATTAAATATTTATTTAGTAGCTGGTATTCTCCCAGGTTGTCTCAGGGCATTATATAGGACACTTTTTCAGGAAATTAAGGGTTATAATTCAAGATGTTTCAAAAACCTATGAGCCTTTTTAAGAGCTCTAGTGCTCAGGGCCATGTTTCTTCTCAGAAGTATAAGGCTTGTTGACAAAGGAAGATAGCAGTGGTCAGACTTCTGATCTTGATAATGCAGTTCAGGCCAGAAATCCTTTTCCAAATCTGTTTGAGATACTTGAAGACACTACAAATCCCACTTACTGCTTACAATTTGGAGGCTGCCACCCATGTGAGTCAGGTGGTTAAACAGAATGTGTGAGCGTTCCTTAATCTGTTAAAAAATGCCACATCATGTGGGATAACTGAAATCAACTTCATCAGCAGGTTAAGTTTAAACAGTTTGCACTGAAGCACATGAAGAGTGCATCCATCTTCTGTTTTGAGGGTATTGAGCTTTGGAAGAAGTGTGGTTAAACATAGCTGGAGAGAAGTGAGATGCTGAAGCTTATGGCTATTTGCATTGCAAAGACATTCTGAATCTTTCTAATGCAATGTTGTGCTGTGAACATTACACCTGAGTTAAAATAATTGAACGGCCTCCTCCTCCCACAGGCACTATGACAATGGGCTGCAGATGGGGAGAAAGTTTTTAAGAGATGGGAATGATGAGTAGGAATAAAAAGGAAGCAATTGGCATGAAAGCAAAGCTTGGAAGCAACAGTAATATATTAATGCACAAAAGAGTGAGTCTGACCTGCCTCCAAAATTATCTTTCATGCTAAACTTTGTTTCTTGGATTATCAACACTGAGGTGGCAATCCTAATTAAAAAGAAGCTGCTATCTCATGGTGATTGCATTTTCAGACTGAAGTGTGGTAAGAACAGCTCAAACTTCATCCTTGTTCCTTACTTTTATATGTCAGAACACATCCATATTGGCTGATTTCTAATTATTTCGTAGCCTTGGAGAAAATATGTCTAACTTACACCATCTGAACATAAATTGCACTTTTAACTATATAAGGAAGGCTGTTGTCTATAAAACTTGAATCTAGTGGCTGGGCGACAAACTCCATGAGTTCCTTCTCTTTTTGGCCAAAAGCAAAGCTAATGCTAGCAGGTAGAAATCCCAAGGTCAGCCAGCCTTGCTGTGAAGTTTCAGGATCTAGCTGAGGAGTTCACCAGCCTGCATTACACCAAGCCAGGCCTCAGACTGACTGCATGAGGACACAGCCCTGTACTCTGTCTTGCCTTGTTGTGCTGGAAACACACATGAAAGTTGGACCAAAAAGAATGCTGGAGGATGTGAATTGATTCAGACAAACTCTAACGTGGTTAGGAAAAGCAAAAAACACTCCTCAGTTGTATGTGTATACTTGCAGTAAAGGAAAAACCACTTCCTAACCCCAAGCCTCTGAGTGGGAGAGATGGTATTTTGTGTGTCCTTCAGTACCATCAACAATGTGCTTCACTCCAGCACAGAAACCAGAAATCCCAGCGGGTCTCCGTTCCTTCAGCGATCTAAAATCCTCTTGCTCCTCTAAGAAAAAACGACAGCTTGGCTTGGAACGTCTTGGTTTCTGTGCAGAGCTGGGGAGGATAATTTCTGATTGCCACATTATGTTTTGCAGCTATTGTCCAAGGAGACACACTGGAAGAAATCTACAACCAAGTGAAACAGATCATAGAGGAGCAGTCTGGGCCTTACATCTGGGTTCCAGCAAAAGAAAAATTATGAAAACAGATTTTTATTTTTCATTTTTCTAACTGACATCACCTACTACATCTGACGACTCTAAGCCCTTCCAGTGGAGCCTGCCTCTAGTTCTTTCCAGCGTGGTTCATACCCTAACCATCACATTCTGCAGTTCCCATAATGCTTTACATTTGGTGTCTCTCTTAGTTTAAATAATTTGTATTATTGTGTGTTGTTGGTTTGCCATTTTTCAAACATGACAGTGGAATGGCCTGACCAGCTATTAGTTTGGGGTGGGGGTGGGAGGGAATTGCTTGGTAAAATTCCTTAACGTTTAAGGGAAAGTAACTTTCAAAGATTTTTCAAAAAAGCTTTATAGACATTCTTTTAAAATTTCATAACAATTGAAAGAAAAGTTGTATTCAAGGAAGTTATAAATCATGAATAACTTTGCACGCTTAACTTTAATAGCATGGTTTGGTCAGGGCAATCAATTTCAGGTTTTATTTTCCGACTTAAATTCTATTCTCACAGTATTATTTTTTTTTTTCTTTCCAGGCAGTTAGAGAGAAACTTTCAAATTTTGAGTTAACATTTTCATTAACTCCCATTATTACTTCTCAAGGGATATTCATTTTCATAATTTCATATGGATATTCTTATAATCTATTTTTTCATTTTTTGCCAATTGCTAGGGACAAAGATGTGTAATGTTTTTAATCTTCCTTGTGAAACACTATTTATAGTGTCTTACAGAAATTGTTTATAGATAATGGTCATCACACTTTTTGAGCCTAAAATATGTTTAGGTGCTAGGAAACCTTGTATTTTTCAGAGGAATGCCAAATTTCCATTGGCAGTAATACAGAAAACAGCTGCAGAGGTGGTCATTAGGGCAGTGAGAAAGTGATTCGTAGCCTAAAAATGTGTGTGTTCTTA